GATAAAATAAATAAAAACAATAAAGAATTTTCCAAAGGTCAAAAGCTGTTTAACTATTAAAGAAAAGGTTTTCTCTTACAGTATACTTTGAGAAGTAATTCTTTGATGTCCATATTTATATTCCTATATATAAAATATAGGACATTCTTTAGACCACACAGTTGAACATTTTTTTATTTTTAAACATGTACTTTTCTTTTTTCTAACTTATTCGTTTAATTTTATTGTTGGCAGTCTCCATAATAAAGCTAATTTAGCACCGTACCAAGGGTTAAAAATGACCCATTTGTCTAATGCTGGCAGACTCTTATATTAATGTACACTCTGCCTGTGTCTGAGGAGAAGCAGATTCACCTTCTGGTCCTCTTGGAGGTAGTTGAACAGAATGATCTCCAGCAGCAGCTCCTCTCCCCGGATGATGAAGGCCGGAAGATTTAAGGACAGGAAGAAATCCTGGAACACTGTCAGCTGCAGGAAGGTTGCATAGAAAACCTGGTTACAAGAGATGCTAATGCTAACAGCTACTGCTCAGATTAATAAGCCAAAAAGCCATACTGTGAATAAATTTAATAATACAGGGTTAAAAATTAAAATGAATTAAATATATAAACCTTAATACCTCTGCTGGTTGCTCTACAATTCCCAGTCCCAGATTCTCAGACATCACAAAGGCAGTGGCAATCCAGGTTGTGATGCTGTCTGGTACAGTTAGCGCCATTTCCTTTGTGTTTGAATTACTGCAACAAACAGCAAAAAAAAAAAAAAGAAGAGAAGAGAACTTTAAATTTTAAAAAACTGCATCTGACCCAACGGTTTCTGAAGAATCATACCGTGCAGGTCATCAGCTTTCTTACAAACAGTATGTTTGCTTACTGACTTAAAATGTTAGGTGTTGGAGGTGCGTTGTCTTTTGTCTTTGCAGGTTGGAGAATGTGGTTATTTGGAGAAAAAAAGTTCTTAAAAACTTAGATCCTGACCATTATCTATGAGATCTCTGACTGTTTGTGGCTTCACCTTCTTTGTGTTGTTTGAGCCTTTGTTTTGCACCACAGCTTACTCAGCGTTAGCTTGGTAATATCTTTTATCATTTCATAAGTATGAATGTATATGGGACATCATCTCCTAAGGTTATATGCCAAGGTAACAGCAAAAATAACACCCACTCACATCCTGGGCCATTTAACCTCAATAAATCACATGATAGAGTGAGGCTAGGATTCACAATGGGTTCACCCAAAACCTTGGCTGATTGTGACTGTGGTGTGAATATGGCATGACGGGACCACAGATCGCAATTATGAGCCATTTATTTACATCTCATCACACCACAATACACACCGACCCCTGAGTCCCCATGTTTTAACTCGGCATCCACCCTCCCTGCACGGCACCGCAGACCACGTCCCACCACAGTGAGCCAAAACAGTTTTCACACCTTGGCTGTGTGATTAGGTAGAGGAACAATAGGGGGTCCAAGACCCTCTTGGGGACACTCCCATAGGGTTTAAAATCTGGGACTCTCCACCAATTACTCTTGGAACTGAAAAGCTTCTTGGATTAGAGGTGAAGCATCTTCAAGAAAACTTAAAGACGCCCAGACGCTTTTCTTTCCAAACTTAGACCACAATTACCTGGATCAGGGGTCTGCAACCTTTAACACCCAAAGAGCCATTTGGACCCGGTTTCCACACAAAAGAAAACACTGGGAGCCGCAAAT